TGGGGCTGCTGAGTGGGTTGCTTTCTTTGGTAGATACTCCCTAGGCCGTGGAGTCTGGGTTTGAAGCCCGTGCTGTTTGCATCCTAGCTATGTGAGCTCGAGCAGGTACCTCACCCTCTCTGAGCCTCATTAACTTTATCTGTAAAATGAGGCTAATAATAGATCCTCGCACCTCTTAAGGTCGTTACGAAGCTTAAGTGAGAAAACCCGTGCAAAGTTCTTGGCACGCTGCCTGGTGCACAGGGAGGACTCAACCAATGCCATAGTTCTCAGCTTTGCCACGAGCTCCTGCCCCCGGGAAGGCATGGTGAGAAGGACGGGGCTGACTCTGACAGGTCCTTGAGGGAGATGGAAGGGGTAAAGAAGACAGTGGTAAATGCTGTGAAAACAAGGGCCTGACGTAGTGCTTGGAGGGGAGGAAACCAAGGAGGACTTTCTAGAGGAGGTGGCCGTGGCCCCGAAGGCACAGCGTTTGAACTAGTGAAGATGTAGGAAGGAAGGGTGGGTAATTTAGGTTGAGGGACCCGGACTGGAGAGGCAGGGAGTGTGAGGTGTGTGTTTCCGTGCACCTGCTAAGGACAGGCAGAGACAGTCATAGGCACTGATATACTAAGTACCTACTGTGTGCCAAGCAGAGGGGCTGGGCTCGATGGGCCCCATTGCTTCAAGGTACAATCCTATTATTATCCTAATGTTATAGTGGAAGAAACTGAGGCTCAGAGAGGCGATCCAAGTTAACTTGCCTGAGGCTCGGCAGCTTCTAACAGAAATGCAGTCCCAGGCCTGAGGCTCCCAAACGCAGCCAAAAGCCACCCCCAGTAAGCATTTCTGTATCTAGACCAACTAGTGAGAGAGTGTCTTCAACAGCCCTCTCAAGGGGGCTCTGAATGCCACAGAAATGGGGCTGGATTTGAAAGCAATGAAATGACATACAACGAGACGGGCATTCCAAAGGCAGTGGAGAGCCACGGAATGCTCTGGATCAGGCGATGTGCCTTGAAAAGGTACATCTGGTAATGGCTGTGAGGACAGCTGGGGTATCAGAGAGAGGGTGAAGGTGAGAGGCCAGGCTGGTGGCTGTGGCAACGGGCCAACAGAGGGGATCTGGATCGTGGTGGGGAGAGGAGGGTTCATCCCCTCGCCGGGCCTCAGTTTCTCTGTCTGAAATCTGAAGGGGCTGGCCCAAGACCTAAACCCTGCTGCAACAGCCTCATCATCCCCGCGAGCATCTCCCTGGCCTGTGTGGGACATCAACCACCCCAAAGGCCACTAACCTGTGAAGTATTGTCGATTCCCAAGGAATAGATGCTGAGCCTTTGACAGAGGGTGATGTATAACCCTCTTAATGACAAAGCTGGTATTTATATACGCCAACAGGGAAGACCACAAAATAGGACCCCTTATAGTCCTGTCCTATCCTGGTCCCAGTCAAGTGACAGCAATCACTCAGAATTGGTTAATATTTTGATTATGGGATGGAGCCCAACAGCCTCTCCCTCCTCCCTCCAGTTCTCACTGTCCCTCAGGGTAAAGCCAAGGTGGTAGTCCCAGTCTCATCTCAGCCACCTCCTCGGCTGAGGCCGCAGTACCGTCCCAGGAGGGAGAGGGGGAGCAACCAGGCTTCCATCACAGGCAAGAGCTCAATCAGCTGGACAGTCATGGGCCCATCTCCAGGGCTGGGACCTCAGAAACATGTCAAAGCCCAGATCTCATCTCCCCCCTCTTCTCTCAGAGCTGTCTTTCTGTTCCTCACACTTGTCCTGTTCATCCATTCAACAAAATGTATCGAGCCCCTACTAAATGCCATGCACTGAGATGGCATCTGGAATGTAGTGATGGGCCAAATGGATGTGGCTCTGGACCTCATGGGCGTTTACCTTAGTGGGTGGGGAAACAGACAACACACACACACACACACACACACACACACACACACACACACATAAGTGGGTAAACTGATAGCAGGGTTAGTGCTCTGAATGAAACATGGCGAAGATTATCAGTGTGTGTATAGGGGGAGCCTTCCCTGGGAAATCATGGAGGACCTCTCTGAGGAGATGACCATCAAGCTAAGACCTAAAGGGTGAGAAGGAGCTAGGCCTGCCAAGAGTCAGGGCCAAGGAGTTTTCAGGAAGAGGGAACAGCACATGCACAAGACCTGCGGCAGGTCATGGCACATCTGGGAAAGTAAAAGAAGGCTGGAGCGTCTAGAGCTTGGTGGCCGAGGAGAGAGTAAGTAGCCTGGGGCGAGGCTGGGGAGGCAGGCGGGGGCCAGGTGCTGATGCTCTACAGTCTGGTGGACTTCAGGCAGTCTAGATTTTCCAATGGGAAACCATCGGAGAAATTGTAACAGACTCCCCCAACATCTATCCCAGCTCAGCCTCCACTGGCGCGAAACAAGTACATCGTTTGCCGTCCCTGGGCTTCAGTTCCCCAACTGCCTGTTTGGTCTCCCAACTGTCCAGTTCAAATGTTCTAGAGTGCTAGAAGCTCAGGTGCAGGAGAGAAGGGGCTGGCAAGAGGACCAGGTGGCCAGCAACATTTATTGTGGGGGGGGGTGGTGTGCTGGCAGGTGCTGACCTTCCCTTTGCCATCCTAGATAGCAGCATTACACGGGCAGCACGCCAGAGCCCCGGGGTCTTCATGGCTCAGAAGAAGAAACTGAGGCCACAGTAAGTGGGGGGGGGGGGGCTTGGCCTCTCTCTCAGGATAGGTCTGTAACCCCATTCCAATCCTGCCCCATCTCAGGAACACTGGTCAGATGTCCCTGGGCAGACAGGCAGCAGCTTCTAGCTTCTAGAAAGCTGGCGATCCTGTGTCCTCAGCAGAATAAGTCTAACCTGGCTTCTGGGGCAGCCACTCTCCTTGGGAGCCTGCAAACCTCCCTTGGCCCTCTCTTTCTACTTTCTGGGAGTGAAAGGGGAAAGGTGTTTTGCCTTTGGGCAGACTTACAGCTGGGCCTCCTATCTGCCTGGGGACAACAGTTTTCAAATGACTGGTTGAGACCAGAGGCTGGGGCCGGGTTCCCTCGAAGATCCTATGCCCAGAGAGGAGCGGCGATTTGCCTGACGTCACACAGCCTGAAAGTTCCTCCAGGCCTCCCACCTGTCCTCTGACCCCCCCGGGCGCACCCTCTCCAGGTCCTTGCTCCCGAGGAACTCCTCCTCCATCTGGACCTCCCCCAGCTGCCACCTCGCCATCCATCTCCAAAGCTGCCTGATCAGGAGGAAGCAACAACTAGAATAGAGAAGCAGGAAAAGCAGGCTTCTTTCTCCAGGGAACGGACACAAAACCGGGAGTCAGTGGCCCCAGACACCTCCTCTCATTCAATCTAACGCAGGGTTCTCAACCAGGGTCAACGGAGAAATCTTTTTGGAGCTTCTAGAATCCCTCAGATTATCTGCTGAATTAGGCAACACTTTTTTTCTAGGGGGAAGATTTGTATTTTCCACCAGATTTTTCTAAAGGGCCCCTTTAAAATCAAACAAAGGTACAAGACCCTTCCCTATCATGTCACAGATGGTAAAACTGAGACCCAGAAAAGATGACTAATTTAAGAGAAGCTATTGTTTAGAGGATTAGAACACAGGCGTGGTGGTCAATCGGCCGGGGTTCAAGTCCCAGCCCCACGATTTACTGGTTATACGTCCTTGCATAAGGGTTTAACCCCTCTAGGTCGTAGATTTTTCATCGTAAAAATGGGGATGATGACAGTACCTTCAATAATGTTGTAAGAATTAAATGGGTTAATGCACACAAGGTCTTAGGCAGTGCCTGGTCCGTTAGTAAGTGTTCCATAAACGTTAGCTGTTAGTATTTAGCCAAGGTCACACAAATGAGTGGCAGAGCTGGGGCATCCACCCCAGTCCTCTGAGGCCTCTGGAGGCTGATAGGAGCTTCTGTGTCCCTGGGCCTCCCAAGAAGGTGCTACAATTATAGCCAGACCTCCCCAGCATCTGTCCCAGCGAGTGAGGAGTGTGTGTGTAGGGACATGGGGGTGAAGAGAGAGAGGAGGTGGGGGAAGTCCCAGGCTCCCTCCCAGCTGGAGGAAGGGGGGAGGGGTCGGACATCAAAGGGTGGGCAGGCCAACTTCCCGCCCCTAAGGCCAGGTGGCCTTTGTCAGGACAGGCCGGACACAGTCGGGACAATGGGGTATCGTGTTCACTTTCCGGCCAACAGGAGTCACTACTGAGCCAAGGGGCAGCCTGTTACATGACAAAGGGGGGACCTATAAAGGAGGTCAGGCCGCCCCTCATTAAAGCTGGCCCTTTGTCCTGCCCCCTCCTCTGCCTTTGAAGAGGGTGGATCAGAGAGGCCTGCCTGGGGGCAGGAGGTTCACTGTCTCAGGAGCCAAACAGTAGCCACCTTCCCAACTGCTCCTGCTTTCCCCTCCCCCAGGGTCAAGAGTTCAGGGAGGGCCCTGGGATGGCAAGGTATGGACCCCCACACCAATTCAACCGAAGAGGGCTCTTTTTCAGTCCAAAGGATATGACCCGCCACTCTCTCCACTGTACTGATGGGGGCACTGAGACCTGGAAAGGAAAGTGATCCGCCCGTGTTCACACAATCAATGCACCACCCCTTCTGGGTATGGTGTGCAGCTTCCTCTTGGGGCTGGGATAGGGAGTGGAAGAAAGGGATGACCACCAGGGCCAGTGTTGCTGAAAGAGCCCTGGCATAAACCTGGGGACCCGCGTTCTAGTTCCAGCCTTGCCAGGCAACCACAAGGCGAGTTTCTTCACTACTAAGGGTCTCCATTTCCCTATCCATACAGAAGGACAGGTTGTGCTTCCTAAGCTAAGGCTCAGGCAGGCTGGGATTCTGAAGGGGGAAGCTGAGAGAACAGCAACCCCCGGACCAGAGAGGTCAGGGAGGCCCAAAGGGGGGACCCAAGCGGGGCCACGGCAGGGGTGAGACAGGGGGCAACTGGGCCTGGCCCCAGCACCTGCCGGTGCCCAGGGGAACCTTCCAAAGGCTCAGGGTGAAGGAGGGGTCCTTACCGCTGCCACAGCCGCCTCCCGCCGCCACGCTGCGCCGCATCCACTCGTAGGGCGTCCGCCTTTGCGCTCCGGGCGAGGACGGTGCGCCCGGGCCGCCGAGGGGCTGCGCCAGGAGGCTTGGGCCAGGCCCAGGGGGCGCGGGCACCGGGCTAAAGTCCGGAGGGGGCCCGAATGCCAGCGGGGCTGGGCTGGCGGCGGGGGCCGCAGGGCCTGGGCCATAGGCGGCGGCCCAGTCGTCCTTGGGCGCAGAGAAGGGCGCGCTCCAGGCCGCAGAGGGTGCGGGGGCCGGCTCCACGTGAGAGTAGCCGGTGAAGTCGGGGTACTGCGAGGGCCCAGGGGGCGCGGGCGGGGGGCCGTAGGCTTGCGGGCCCAGGCCGAGGCTCGCGGGCCTGGCGGGGCCGGGGTAGACCGGAGAATCCTTGTCCAGCACATAGCCCACGTACATGGTGGCCGCGGGGCCCCGCGCGCATGCTGGGCCCTGGAGCCGCCGCTGCCGGCCGCCCCGACGAGCAGACTGTTCACCTGAACTCGCGGGCCCTGCCGCCGCGCCCGCCCCACCCAGGCCTTTTATAGCTCCGGGCGCCCGCGGCCCCAGCCCGGGCGGGTTTGCATTTCAAAGCGGGGGGGAGCCTCCGCGCCGCGAATCAAAGGGGGAAACCCGTCGGGGGCGGGGGGTTCAAAAGGAGACAAATTGCTGCCCCAAGCGGGAGGTGGACGGGCCGGGGCCTGGAGGGGGCGGGGGCGCGGAGGACGCGTCCCGGGCGAGCGTCGAGGCATCGCTAGGTGTGGGGCTCCTGCGGGGCCGACGGCCTGGCGGCCCGAACACTTCCTTCTCCCTGGGCCGCGTGGACCGCCCGTGACCCCATCTTACAGGTGGAGAAAAGGGATCCGAGGGGCCGGCGGGGGGGAACCCCAGGCCAGCGTCACACAGCCACATCGGGCCTGTGGCTCACTCCGCAGTGATCAGCCTGAGGTGAGGGGGCAACCTGACTTCAAACAGGGTTCCCTCTGTAAGGTAGCGGGTCCTTAATGTTGGGGGGGGAGGGGTCACGACCCCTCTGAGCCTCCGAAGCAAGCTGTGGAGGTTTTTCCGGGAAAATGCACATATGCACATACAGGAGTCTGCATACAATCGGGGAGTTTTCCTGAGTTGACTCTCCAGAGAAAGTTCTTAAAGAGGGGCATCTTTAAGAGGACATTCTGGGGAATTTTTCACAATTCTCTCAGCAGGCGCTTCCCTCCCCCGCCCCCTTTATTTTACTAAGAAGTTTCAAACATACACACAAGTGGAATTTGTAATGAGCCACTATATACCCATCACTCAGCTTCAACCATTATCAAGTTTTTGTAACAGTTATTTTATCGACTCCCCTCTTTTTGCCAGAGTATTTTAAAACAAACTTCAAACACCATGTCATTTCACCCCTACATACTTCCGCATGCATCTCTAAAACACATGGACACTTTCTTGCATAATATGCCATTAGACACATCTAACAAAATTAACACAAATTCTTGAGTCTTATCTAACACTCAGTCTGGATGCAAAATTCTCCAGTTGATTTTTTTAACAGTTGGCCTGTGTGATCAAGGTCTAAAAGCTTTGGTTCACTTATAGCTGGGGCCCATTGGTATTTTAAACGCTTCATGCGTGTCCCTCCCCCGATTAAAGAAAGACTGGTAAACATTTCACAGCTACCCAAGAGGGAGTGTGTAAAACAGCTGAGGAGCCCGGAACGGGCAGCAAGGCTGAGAGATTTGGGGAAGGATTCATGAAGGACAAGGCCCTGGGTCGGGAAGTCTTGGGGAGACGGGTTCCCTTTCCACGGGGGGTGGGGTTCGGTGCCAACGAGCTGAACAGAAGCCCCCGACGGTGTTTGATCCTCCAACATTTCCTGGGGACACCCTACCTGTGCAGAGACGTGTGGCCCCCAAAAGGTGGACAGAATCAGGGTCTTATCAACCTGTCCCTCCCTTGGGTCACTGCATTAGTTTGCCAGGGCAGGTCAGCATCATTTCAAGGCTACATCCAGACAGATGTCAGGATCTGAATATAATTTACAGGGTCCAGTGCAAAATGACAACGTGAGGTCCCTTGCTCAAAAATTATTCAGAATTGCAAGATGGCGACAGAGAAGATTTAACCACCCATGGAGCCCTTCTAAACACTGGGCCTTGGGTGACTGTACAGGTGACCCACCCAATGAAGCTGGCGCTGGTCAGAATCTTGACCATCTGGGGTTCCAATGGGTACTATAACAGAATCGGGGACAGGAAGCACGGAGCTCCCCTTCCTGATCAGAGGAACTTTCCATTGTGCAGGTGGCAGCAGTGAGGCCCAGCAAGGAAAGGGGCCATGCCCAAGTTTATGCAACAAAATGAAAGCCGGTGGGGAAAGGGAGCTGCCTGTCACTGACATGGAATGAGCCCATGGTTGCCTCTGCGGGAAAGGCTCCCTTTCCCAGGTCAGGAAGGGGGCGTGTCGGTGAAATTCTGACTCTTTCAAGCGGTCAGTCAAAAATTGACAAGTATACAAAGAAGGGAGAAGAGGCCCAAAAAGACAGGGTTCTCCTCTCTGAGTTGACAAAACCGGGATTGCTCAGCAGGAGGAGAAAATCTGGAATGGGACTTGAGGTTCTGAGTGTGGGGAGCCGCGCAGGACAGATCTGGGACCTGAGAGAGAAAGCTGTAGGCATAGACAGACATAGGTTTCAACCCATCCGTAATAGAGTGCCCTCTGAAGGGCCATCCATTAGGAAATGGGCTGTCAGGAAATAGATAGTGAGCTCATTATCACAGGAGGTATGCAGGTGACTGCTGGAGGTCTCTGGTCACGGACGCTGCAGAAAGCATGCCTATCCTGGGGGACAGGAAGGTTGGTAGTTTCTGGGTGCCCTCTAATTCCAACAATATGCTAAATCAGAGCTCGGGAATAGATACAGGAATTCATTCGCTCATGTATTCATTCATTTGACAAATATGTATTATGGTAGTGAGGCCCTGCCCTTGGGGTTTTATAGTCTGGTGGGGGGGGGGTGTGGGAAGCATGTATGAATCAAATAATCACAGATAAAGGTGAAATTACATCTTGGTAAGAGCAGCGGGGAAGCCGGGCAGGGGTCCAGAAATGACCAAGACGGTGCCCAGGACTTGGGCGGTGGCTGAGAGATGAGGGCCTTTCGGGCAGAGTGGGGCCTATTTCCTGATCCGGGAGAGATCAAGACCAGGGAGCCCTGAGGCCTGGGGGAGTCATCCCACCGGCTTCGTGATCCCCTCAAGGGAACCCCCTCAGGGTTGTCCTCTCCCAGGGTGGAGGCTGGGGTAGGCCTCCTGCTCCACAGACACATCCTGGGGGTAGGCCTCTATTTCCACCTTTCCCTGGGCCTGCTCTTTCCTGAACCCTGGGTGTTGGGAAGGGCGGGGCAAAGCAGGCTGGCCCCATTTCCTGGATGAGGAAGCACAGAGAGGTCCAGGTATCTAGGCAAGGTCACACAGGCACGGGGCTGGGCCCGGGAGCTGGGTCTCCGGACCCCACTGGCCTTTCTCGCTGCCCACCCAGAGTGCCCGAGGGGTCCTCGGCCCAGCCCTGCTGATCCTCCAAGCACCACCCCCTCCAAGAGAGTAGGAGAGCAGGGACAACATAGACTTCGCTGCATGCTGACCATGGTAGACCCTTACAGAGCCAACGCGCTCCTTCACTCAGTGCCAGGCAGGAGGCCAAGTCATTTGCATGTATTATTTCAGGTAGGGTGAGGCAGGGTCTTGTCACCCCCACCTTGCAGATGAAGCAGCTGGAGCTCAGAGAAGTGAAGTCACTCCCCGGAGGCCGCATAGCAGGCCCGTGGCCTCTCTGGAAGTTTTTCTTTCCTCTCCAGCCTGGGAAGGTCGTGCGCTGTGTGCGTCTCTCTCTTAAACCCGGGGTTTTGCTTATACAAATATCTGCTTCCTCTTCCTCCTCTGGCTCATGCAAAAAAGCCTCAGTTCTCCCGTTACCCTCACCTTTAGATGGACCCCTCCAACCAGAGACCCGAGACCAGCCCTGATGTGAATCCTGCTTCCCCCTCCTGAGAACACTGTAACCTTGTTCAAAAGTCCCAGGCGGGGAATCTGAAATGGCAGGTCCCGCCCCACCTTAGCCTCCGACTCGCCATGTGACCTTGAGCACCTGCCTCCCTGGGCCTCAGTGTCCCCATCTGCCCACTGGGAACTGGTTGTCTCAGACGGTGATCCAGCACGGTACTGTGACTGTGCGGAGAAGCCCCCGTCCACCGCGTCACAGCCTCTTCCTCTGATAGCCCCTTATCTCTGGGAGCAGCTGTTTATTGGACCCTTCCTTGCCTCTGGCTCCCCGGTGGCCCCTCTTCCCTCTGGGCTACTCTCACATACCTGACCACAGCCTCCAGGGGTGGGGCGCAGAGACATGGCCTCATAAAGATCTTGGTGATAACTCGGTTTGTAAACAGGTTTATGGCCGTGGAAGAGGAAAGGTTCTGGGCTGAGCTTTCAGTTGGAAGTGGATTGCTTAAGAGAGGCTGGTGGCCTGGCTTTCGACTTACCCAGACTGCAGCCCAAGGGCCTTGACTCACTCTGTGACCTTAGGTGAGGAACTCTCTCTGTCTGAGCTGTTTCTTTCTTTCTTTTTTAAATGTTTATTTTTGAGAGACAGAGAGAGAGACAGAGAGCAAGCAGGGGAGGGGCAGAGAGAGAGGGAGACAGAGAACCCGAAGCAGGCTCTGTGCTGACAGCAGAGAACCTGCTGCGGGGCTTGAACCTCAGATCATGACCTGAGCAGAAGTTGGACGCTGAACCAACCGAGCCACCCAGCCTGAGCTATTTCTGAGGTGAAAGCAGGGATGGCCGTTCCTGCCCTGCCCACCTCCAGGGGGCAGATGTGAGGCTCGCGGGTGGGTGCTGGGGCTCCTGCGACAAGTCTTTTCCTTCTGCACCCCTCTCCCCACCTCCCCCTCCCGCACCTTTCGTCTCGTCCTCCAGAGGCTGGGGCGTCACCTGCTGGCACTGCGGGGTACTACCGGAAGGCTCACAGGCTGCCTGGTCTCCAACTTGACCCCCTGCCAGACTCCCTGATTCTCCTGCTCCCTGTGGGGAAGGAAGGCAGCCCTCCAGTACATCGCCACTTAGGGAGCAGAAAGGATGCTAGAACCTAAGGCCTAGGGGCAGAATCATCTGAAGGGGCAGCGCATCGGACCCTTTGTTCAAAGGAGATACAGCAGCCAGGGAAGGAAAGGAAGGTCACTCCGTGAGTCAGTGGTTAAGCATGGACTGGGGCCCACAAGTCCTAACTCCCTATAGGGTGCATTCCCACAGTCTCTATTTACGATCCAGTGCTGGAGGGAGGGCAGCCAGTCCATAGTCAACTCCAACAGCCTCCATACTAGCCCCCTGCTGTCGCCTTTGTTAGCCCATCCTTCACAGTGCACTACAGTG